GCCTTGGTTGATCGGCTTATAATATTCTGGGCGCCTTTCGCTTACCCATTAATCGCTGGCCGGCTAACGTTTCACCCTTGAATAGGAGTTCTAATTAGCAGTGGGTCCATCAAGCTTTCAACCCTAATCGNGTTCGTCAATCGTGAAAGGCCTGGAGGATATCGATGAACAAATGCCGGAAGTTCAGGCCTCTGCTTCGCTAGTTAATTTATTCTTTTACGTTCTGTTTGATTAGGCTCCTCTGAGGGTATCGTTGTAACTGACGCAATGTTTCAAAAAATCAAAAGCAATCATATATGTACTTTGAAGAAAGCGTCACTGGACTCAAATAGACACCACTGAACGCTATCGCTAAGAAAGGGTGCAAGCGAGCAGATAGAAAAGAAGAAAAGCCTTTAAAAAACCGCTTGACTGCTAGAATATAATAGTTTGCTCTAGCAGAAGGGCGATAGGCGGACGACAATGAGCCGAAGGTGGAATTCTTCGGGTCGGTCGATATCCAGGTCAACTATTTTTACGATATTAGGAGCCTTCGGGCACTCACACATGCCTGTTCTAAAGTCTTCTCTCATAACACTGATTCAGCTCTTTCACTGGTTGGACTGTTTTGGTTTATGTTACTCAGACTTTTCTACAGTTACGTACTTTTCTTTCCCTTTTCATTTCCGGATTTCGGAAGTCCAACGGTTAAACACATTCTCACTATGTCAAAATGAGACGAATAGAGCGTAAACTTCTCATGAAAGACCGGAGGAAAGCATGTGTCTGCAGTACTGTAAGACGGTAAATACAAGCCTTGGTTGATCGGCTTATAATATTCTGGGCGCCTTTAGCTTACCCATTAATCGCTGGCCGACTAACGTTTCACCCTTGAATAGGAGTTCGAATTAGCAGTGGGTCCATCAAGCTTTCAACCCTAATCGCACCACTCGTAAACCGTAGGGAATCTATATGTGGCTCCGAACCCTCATTATCCCACTCATTAATCGCTTTTCGTGCCCAACACGAGGAACGGTTTATAAATGAGAGCTCGAATCACATCTAGACTGTCCTAGAACCAATGCTTTTTCTGTGACAGAATTCCGATGAGTCCGCGAGGGACCAATCCTTCCTGATCTGCGTCTTCAAAGATTTCCTGATTTATTAACCTGCGCCCAGCCTCTCCAATGAGGACCTGACTTTGAGTTCTATCCCTCGAATGTCGTTTAGAGGAATGATGATCCACACCAGCAGATTCGCGAATGACATAAACTTTAATGTTATAGACTCGGCGATGGCGTCGTGCATGGCGGATACCTGAATTATCCTCTCAAAGAAAGTCAAACTGATCCCAGATGGACGCTAGTTCCTATGTCACAGATGGAAAACGAGATTCTTGAACCTCGTTTGAAAACATGCGGATTCACTGAAGAAGGTGAGAAGATGTGAGGCTGTGATTCTTCAGAAATCAGGCTATGTTTAGGTAATTTCGAGTGCGACATGCCGCTGGCAGAATTCATTTCATACATTCCACTCTGGATCAAGACTGCGCTGGTATTATTCTTCTCGATGATCGTCTTCTGTTTCTGTATAATGCTTGCTTGCGGATTGCGACGATTTTGCGGTGAGCTCAAAATGCTAATTGGGTCGATAACAAAAAAAGTTCGTACTAACTACGGGGCTGCTGTCAACATCTACTTAAGGATGGGACCCGATACATATTCTACAACAGGGTGTTCGCTTCTGCCTTCCATTTTCATGCAAGGAAATACGTCGTTTGGAGCACGGAAGTAGAGTGAACAAAACTATACAAAAACTCCTTCAGGCTGACGGTTTGGCGGTATCCATTTCTAAAACCATGGAATAGATTACCACAATTTGTGGGTATCCGACTTAACTTTTCCACCGCCCTACTAAAGGCCGAGACCCTATGCCACGCACGTAATCTAAAAAAAACTCACTGTAGCTTTGGAATTCGGAGAAACAACCCAGAAACCGATAGTGGGACCAGGGTATCTGTGCTTGGTCTTCACTCGATGTGACTGTGGAGAGACCAACCTTATGTGAGACCTTAGTTCCCGCTTGGCTGTGAGAAATTTTTCCATACACTTCATTTTTGGATTGGCGCCCTGTATCCAAAATGTCTCGGAAGTTTGCGCACACATAATTGCAACTCCTACCCACGACATCCACCGTGACTTCGAAAACACATCCACTATTACTTTGAATGTGGAGCTCCTCAGGCAGTAGATGCCCTGATTAGGTTCATACCATCTAATGCTTTCAGAATCTCACGTGGAGTGATCTAAGTAAACTTATAGAACATCAATAACATGGCACATCTACCCTTCCTGCCAGGTGGACGGATGGCTCTTACAACATGAGGTTTACGTGGGCAATCGTAAGGCGAACGAACCGGACGTTGCATAAGATTCAGCGCTTGTACTTTTATAATGGCGTCTGAGTTCCCAGACTCGACAAGTTCAGGCTCTTTCTGCTCGTGGTGCTGACCTATGAAACGGGAGACGGGCGTTAGGAACGATTTTGGGTAATCGGTTCGCCGCACGCGGCTGTCGCGGACCACTCACTCGCCGTTATTACAGCTCTAGCGTTCTTCATACAGCTCAATCGATATGCGATCATTATTTTATGCATAATTCTACTACTAGACTTTTGTTCTTGTATTTCTTACCCACTGCTGCATCCTGCTACATCCCTTCGCGCGCGACGCCCCTCTCACCGCGACGCGACCATTTCGTTCCTAACGCACCACACCCCCTATGAAACAGATCGTAGTACTTGAGCAACCTTTACGTCCATGAAGGTACTTCCCTTATCTGCGGGTCACGCCCCCGCAAAAAAATGAAAGTGGTCGAAAATTTGGCTGGGTAATACCGCGACCCATTTCTAGTGATTCTTTCCGCTCATCCTTTTCTATACAGACCATGTCAGCAGTATGGAACAATTTTCGTGCACTCTGAATGGTCCCTAGAATCAAAGGCGCCATCAGTGCTTGATTGTGTGGGAACACACTTTCCTCCTGTAAAGTATGTGAAACGTAAGGGGGACAAAATTGTTAATCGCTCTCTGCAGAAACTCCGGAACAGCGGATTTTTCGGAAGTCGGACGAATCAAAGTGAATGAGAAGAAGAGCGCTGAAAGCTGATTCTTGAATAGTCGCCTTTTGTCTAAATATATTATACCTCGCACTACATTTGCATCAACAATACGGCAACATGGGTTTGTGAGGGGCCCCATTGACATAGTAGCGAAAGCTTAGCAGAACATTAGCCCAGAAGAGCGGTTGTAACACGCATTTTATCAAAACATCCGAAGAGGCTCGAATGCCTAACTACTTCTTAGCCTCAATACCACCAGTGCCCGAGAGGATCAATTGATGACAAAAAATACCAATACGAGTAGAATGGGCGACTTTTTTTGGATTTTGTTCATTGGCGGCCACTTAATATCGCCCATTTCAACCCACCACTCCTATCCTGTCCTGTTTCTTCAGAAGGCTCAGAAATGCTTAGTTTGTTCACAGTGAACTGATAACAGTAATTGTAAGATTTCAGAGAACCCAAATCAAACGAAAGAGTCGTCCATCATGTACTATCACAACGAATCTCCCAATACTCAAGCTACGACTAGAGAGTATCGCAAAGTGGAACGAAGAGAGTTCCGGCCGGCTGATATGGAGGCGCGATTACGGTTCCTTGAAGAGTGATCAGACTTTATCATCAACTAGCTCTCCTTTGGCTAACTTACTCAACTCTTGACATGGTCTCCATTCACAAAACGAATTATGCTTTATTTCGATATAACGACGAAATTTTATCAACATACATTGTGACTTAGTGAAAGAGGGTCTGAGCAATTCACTTTTGTTGCCTCGAATTCGACAGCCCGAAAAGTTAAGCTGCTGTGCAGCCCTATACTGAATTTGGCTGATGTCATATATCTTTGAATTTCTTAGCAGAAAACGTTTGTCAGCACATCAAAAGAATACTCTAATAAATATGTGAATAGCCAAATGTCAACAAAATATCAATGTAATACTGACTATAATAACCCGTGAGGTAATACAATTGAGCGTAGTACTGCAAGAATGTGAAAGAAAAACTGCAGTACCAAAAGAGGATTGTTTTCTATTGCCGTCTAACATAAGCATTCCTGGAGATATTTGGCCGTTCAGCACCGAATTTACATCGCAGTATTCGACGGTACGTATGGCGGAACCTGAAGTAGAAACTCATTCTGCGATGGTCCCCTTGATGGCAGTGCGGCCGAATAGGGCAGCTGAAAAGCTAAACAAACCTTGCATTACAGAGGGCATAGCAGAGCGGATTGATGGTGGAGTTAATGTAGCAGAGAAAGTAGCTCGCTGTGAATAAGTAATCCGGCACACTATGAGGAAAAAACGCCTCGTAGCACACAATCACTAAAAATGAATATTTTGAAGTAGGAGGATTGAAGTGGAGTATGTAGGACACATTTCTTGAAGAGATCCATCTCATATTCAGTGGGTAGCTTTCAGTGGAATTGTGGGTTCCTTAAAATCAAACTGGTGAGAAACCCAGAGGAATGGGAGCTGGGAGCTGTCCTCTTTCCAGAAATATTGTACATGGAAAGAAGGGAGAGAATGAGGTTGAAGCATTAAAATGTGGTGATTGTCTAGCAGACGTTCATGAGCTACTATAAACAGATAAGTTTCTCTCTTCTGACCCACCGTTGTAGGGAGTCCATGTGACTATAAAAGCGGCCAAAATAGCAGATAACGTCTTCGCCGCTTTACTCTCCTGTTTCCTCTCGTTCTTCTTTCTTTCCTTTTCACTCTTTCTGTCCTTCCCACCGCTGATTTGGGTCCCCACCCTCGAAAAACGACCATTCTTTGCAGGAGATATGGAGTCTGGAAATAAATAAATGAAAATACGAATGTACTTGCTTTTGCGAGTGGTTACTTTACCTTTCACGCTCGTCTGACGGTTGACCTCCGGTTCCGCCACGTCGGCGTTGCAGTCGCTTCGAGAACGACAACGAGACTCTCGACGCGATACTGCTTCCCTGGAAAGAAATCCTGGACTTAGACCGTTCCACACTACCGCCTCAAATGAGTACTATGGGATCTGATAGATGTATTGATAGCGATCTGAATGATGGTGGTCAGAAGACCGTCTATGGTAGAAAATGGAGCAAAATTGACGGGAACTGACGAAGCGGGCCTCTTTCTGCAGTTCATCTGAGCAAGTGCGCAAAGTCAGCCTAATGACATCGGCTCACCAAGTGTGAGTGCTGATAATCTACGGCATGAAAGCCATTAGGAACAAGGGCAAACGGGGTGTAGGTAGTTTGAGGTATAAAGAGCCGACCTTGTGAGACTTTCACGATTATTCAGGGAGTGGAGCGCTTGGCTCAAAGGCTAGTAAGGAAGTATCCTTCAGGGGTAGCTTCAATAGGAGTAACTGGATATGTTAATGTGGCCTAGATGGCACGAACGGAGAACTTGTCTATGGACTAGGATCAAGAAATCCAGCTATGAACACTGTTACAATGTGACTAAAGCCTGGAAGTGACAATACTTGTTCTTGAGCCAGTGGGTATATACATAGTTTCTAAGAACGAAGTTATTTAGCCCAGCGCAACATTTCCATATCAAGAAAACGATCCAACATGGAATCAACTCAGTCAAAAAAAAATTCAAGAGCATTCTAACACTTAGCTGTCCTCACGAAACTTACTGGGTGGCTGTATCACAGTTGCTGAGGCGAACACTCGGCCGCGATCCTTCGTCTTTCAATTCGATCAACACCTGAAAGAGGATACTCTCGAGAGGATTTGATACCCTAATGTTTGTTTCATTTGTTTGTGGACTCCGTGAATTCTGGTGAGAGTATATCCTGCCATACAGCTTCGCATATGATTCTGATTGACAGAAGATCGTAAAAGGAAAGGCATCGAAGGTAAACAAAACTTCGGCTCTACGCTCATTACATAAAGTGTATCATCAATGTGAGACACTTGAACGGACAAATTTCGGTAAATTGAGTTTAGAAATAATTCAAACAGCCCTCCGGTAAAGTTTTTTGGGCTCGAAACGGAGAACATTATCTACGACAGTGAACAAACCGTATAGGTGTCGAAGGTGGGCCTGTCAGTGGGCCTTGTGCGGAACCTCATGGATCCACTGCGTGGACTGTTTTCATTTTGTGTTTCAGTGGAAATGGTTTCCTGAAAGATCAGTTTCTTTGAGTGAATGTCAACAGATGGGAGCTTCAGAACGTACATCGTTGGCTGGGATAGGACTGAGTGGTGGACTGGTATTTTTTCGTTTGGCTGTGTAGAGAGACGATGACAACGACGTGTCATCGATGTTCATCACCTGAGCCTGAACAGAGAAAAGAGGGATTAGCGAAAAATAGCTTGAACGTGGGACGCGAACCTCAGAACTATCCTCAGAGGACGAATGCGATCGAGTGCTACACATTTTCAACCAGTTGATGCGACTCCTTGTGCGATTCAATCTGCAAATAAAGTGATTGCAAATTTCCCATGTACTGCTGACTCACGATTAATCTATCAAGAGCCCCGATGCCAAACAGAGCTATTGGATTCCAAGGGACAATCGGCTCCTTCTAAATTCCACTTTTTGGCTTGTGGTGATGCGCCAGACGTTTGGCAAAAGGGTTCAAGTTGAACGAGAGCGATCTACATACTTCTATGCTAATTAGTCGAGTAGCAGTTGCAATTCTTGCAACCTGGACCCACCAGAAAAGATTTGAAATATTGTATACTACACGAAAGCGCATCTGAATTCAATTCCTTTTAATTCTTTTTTTTACTAGTATTAGAACATTATTTTACTGCGTTGAATGGGCTACAGTATTTACCCTGACCAGTGCGAAAATTGAGAAGTAAAACCAACTACTTATGAAATGAAACGCCGATCCGCGTTTTTCGCTATAATTAGTTATTCCACTTTTTATATAGGATGCCATAGAGTTCAATACAGCTCAACAAGCTCTCCGAAACTGTGCATCATGAGTCTCAAGAATCATATATTTAGAAACTTCATTCCAACAATGGTTTTGAGTGTACTTCATTAGCTAAAAGGCCCGCTTTCAATGTGTGAAGGAGGCAGTCCATTCTTCTGAAAGTTATGGATGAGCTATGGAGGAGCTATCTTTTTTTGGTACAAAGCAAAAAATATACTGTAGTGCTCCTCAGACTGTCCTGTTTATTTCAGTACTGATTCGGTTGTAAGTAGACAAAATTAACAGACGCTATTTTCAAAAAAAAATGGTCCCTATTTGAAGTGTTAAGTAGCAAAAATAAACTGATGTGCAGTGTCCAGAGGACAACGATGCACAGTTATTTGTGAGAGGGCATACGTAGGCTGGCCTTCTAGCTGATATTCGGGATGTATCGAAGGAGGTAGGCTAGCCGGGCAAAAAAAATCAGAAAAAAACCTAGCGTTGACCGCTCTCATATTGCACTGAACACTTATTCCTCCTGAAGCCCTGACCTCATACCGAAGACCTATCCACAAAACACTCGGAAGTTATATAAAGATCGCTATGAGATAGAAGTTTTGGCTCAACCGTCGATTTTCTTTCATTGCCCGTCCTTTCTGCATCCATTTTAGTCATCAGGCCCAGATGTCAGAAACAATTTTTGGATGGGACTTGCTTTGAACTCAACATTCTTGAAATATTGCACTTCAAAATGAATATGTACAGCACTTGGCTTTGCACCAGCTTTCACTGATGCAGACCGTATCGAGAAGCAATCCAGTGGGTTGCGCCATGCGTTCAAGTCTCACCCTGTAAAGTAGTGGTATTCGAGTCATTACAATTGCTACATTATATATTTCTATAAATCAAGTGACCGTCCCTTTCACCAAGTTAGGAATAGCACCTCAACCTTACAGCAGATATTCCTATATAAGATTGAAGAAACAGGCCCAATCGAAATGCTGTTATTGCCATATGGGCCGAATGACTACATAATTAGGGGGTTGAGAGAATTCACATAAGAAAAATCGATTCTGAAGTAGGTAGTAAATTTCGACATATGAGTCATATCATCACAGCTTTTCTCAAATGGATTTCAGTGATGAAACTTTCTCAAGGTTTTCAATGAAAGAACAATGAGCGGTACTCTGAAGCCAGTCAAGGAGAGGTCGTTGATACGAACTAGCAGCCTTAGGACAAATGACTTTTCAGAACAAATTATGAGTGAATATCAGGAATTTTTTCACAGTCTCAATGTCTGGCCTGTGTCAAAGAACTTCACCCAACTGGGTTATGCCTATCGTATGGTCTAACAAGCCGGAACGCTATTGTTGCAAAGGTTCACAACATTCAGTGGCTAGGACTTAAACCAGTTACGAAGACGGGAAATATTTCTCCTGAGATGCAAGCAAACGTACGCTTTTTCAAAAAATATGCCTTGTAGAGGTTTTTAAATGATGTAGTAATAACGTTGCAAGCAAAGCAACAAAAGCAATGTTCTCAGAAAGGTCTTCAGCAAAATAGAAAGTCCTATTTTTGCAGAACAAGTTGTTAATACTTGGGAATAGAAATTTACTCTTTTATTTGAATTATCGATCCAAAAAGTCGCGACTTTTTTCAAATCGGTAGCTTCACCAACATATTTCGGACATGATAGCAAAGGTATAACCGCAATCTAAGGGCCGCTACATTAGCCTGCCTCTTCTACAGGAAAGTTAGATAGCTATCCTAATTCACTCAGAAATTTCAGCGAGCGCAGTTGCTTGTGATGTACACTGAGAACCATTGGAGGAATATGGACTTCAAAACGAACTTTTCAGATCCGCAATGAAACATTTGTTGTACTCGACGAGCTGAGATGAACCAACTAGCACTCCAAAGAAAAAGTTAATAGTATAGAAAGTAAAAAGCATTCTATAGGAAAATCAACGGAGTGCGCGTTTCTTCACTTTTCTGAACCATTAGAATACCGTGAATGCTCCCCCCCCCCCCCTATGGGATAAAATGCGAAAGTATGAAATAAGTCCTTTTTTGCACTAGTTCACGGCTCGGTTTCTGTTTAGTGGTAGACCGAACGCGGTAATCGTTTGAAAGGGATATGGGAACTTTTAACTGAACAGGGTTATTAAGTGCCACGACTTGCATGGTGTTACGAATAAATTGAAGAATATTGACGAACCCTTTGGAGTCGTTCGTTCCCCACAAGCCTTTCTTCAGAGATCCTCGCTCGTTGTTCTTCGCGAAAGAATTCGATGAGGCATCTCGCCGGATGGATCGTCGCGAAAACTGAAATATTCTTTTTCGGATGGGGAACGAGATGAAGTGCTAGGGAAGGGAATTAGAGGGGAGCATGACCAAAGAGGGTGTGAGCCATGCATGATCACCTTCTTCTTGATCTTTTGTGAGACGGATCTTTGGGTGCGAACGGAGTCGTTCATTTCACTTCGATGCTAAATGATGCGATAAGTCTTCACAGCCCCCGTGAAGGCAAATGAATCGCTTGCTTCTCAGTGTATACAGGTATGTCTGGCAAGCGTTACATTTGTATAGTAGCTGTTCAGCAGAGAACAACGTTCACGACGCCAGCGGAACAAAGTATCATTTCGCGCACATGAGAGTCTGAGCATTCTTTTTGAGACGTACCTGTGATGCTTGTAGTTTCCCAAAATCGCGACGTCGTTTTCGAGTTTCCCAATAGACGCGTGAATACAGAACGATCAAAATCGTCACTGGTAGGTAGAAGGCGGCGACAGCGGTACCAACTGTGACATAGGGGTTCGTCTCTAGAAACTGCACTACACACGTTCCTGGTTCTACCGTGAATTTCCCTAAAATAAAGGCGAATTAATTGAGAAAGCACGAACATGATTGCATAGCATTGTGTCACAAACTGATATTCGTTCCCACACATCATATATTCCCAGCATATTGCTTTGCACGCCTCCGGCAACTTTGCTTCCTAACTTATTTCACCACCCATTCATTCGCATTCATAAACATGAATTTCTCACGATATCTTTATTCAAACAGCCCTTTGCCCTTACCCTTTTGCATCCCAGCTACTCAGCTGCCCCTTATTCTTCAGACATTTGAAAATGTCATTGCCAACTCTTGGGGTCCTTCACTTCCTGAAGTACTCTAGTGTCCTCCACAATGAGCACAATCACAAGGTCATCTCCATTGGTGCATAAGGGAATAATTACTCCAGCAAGGTTGTTCTTCGTCTGTTTCAGAAAGGGTGGACGTTGCTGAATGAAAGTGGTCACCCTAAACAAGTTTGTTCATAGTAGTACCTATCAAGAATGGATACGCCCGCTACCTCCCATATCGTACGGGATCGATGTAGGGGTAATGTCTATCACAAGCTATCAGGCACAATCCTGATTCATTTGAAGAATGTCGCTGACCTTCTATATATGGCCAGCTAATAATCCACGGCGGCCAAAGTATCACTGAGATGATATAAGTACAAGCGATCATGATCAGTGCTTTCCGAGTTGTTCTCCTTCAAAATAGCTCATCCTTGAAACTATCACCATCGAACACGAGCTCTACGACTTACCTTGGTCTGTAAGAAAGCGGCCGCGTTACGGAAAAGTACCGATCAAATGAGATTAAAAGCAAATTGAGCACTGAAGCGTTGCTCATGAGGTAGTCGACGCACAACCAAAACTGGCACATCGTATAGCCGATCCCCCACGTCTGCATGGCCGTGTAATACGTCCATAGCGGTATTGAAATCATTCCTAAGCAAGCTTTTATGAACCTATGAACACTACTCAACTGCAATATTGGAATGCCCAACTGTCCAGATTAGAAAGCCTGAACGAACGGGCGTGAACGAATTCGGGCACCTATAGCAATATCGGCAACGGCAAGGCTGAAGAGAAAGTAGTTGCTGATCGTCTGCAGCTGCTTGTCGATTTTGAAGCTGACCATCACCTGAAACGATTCCAGCATTTCGTATAACCTCATTGATTTCGAATCACAGTTTTGTCTGGCAATGGCATATGTGTACAGAGCAATGGCTTGTTTCCATTCGTGGGAAAGGATTAATCCCTACTATATATAAAGCGCTACCATCTGTCCTTCTGTCTGTCTGTTTAAACTGAAATTCATAACTCCTGCCCCAGTGGACTGGGGCGTTGAAATGTGGTAGAAATACTCAGGGAAGGACGGGATTACTGATGATAGGTAGTAGGAAGAATGTGGCGTGTAAGAGTGACAGGATCGAACTGATAACAACTGATAAGAGCTGATAAGTGGCTTCAGAAAGCAAGACCCATCTACGAAATAGATTTTCGACGGAGAAATCAGTGTTCGGTGTTAGAGGTATGCAGTTTTAGCTCTTTGGCATGTTTCATTCGATAGAACGGGATGGTAAAGTAGGGTGACAAAAAGTTAGCGGTAAGTGCAGTTATAGGGAACGGTTAAAGCTTCCTTATTGTGAAGAGCTGAAAGTTCAGAAAGTTTGTAAGTTTTTTATTGCTGTCATATTATGACCGCTACCCAGAAAGATTTGTGACTCAGTGAGTGGTCACGGTTCTTCTTTGTTTTGATATTATTCGCTACAAAACGTATCCAACCGCCAACAATCTAAGAGCCTCTACTAATGATGGTAAGTGCATTGATGGAGACCGATTAAAGCATCTCCATTACGAGGAGATGAACGTTCGGTTTATTTACTGCTGTTACCAGGTTCCTAAAGTGGGTGGGGTCTGCGCCGAGATGGGCGAGGCTAAGATTAAAAATTCATAACTCTCTTCGAAAACATTCTAGAGCGCGGATAAAGTGATTAGAGACAGCTGTAAGAAAGGTGGTCAAACCTTTTTAGTGGGAGGGATTTGCGCTGAGTTGGACCGACCACTAATAATTCTGCACGAATGAAATATATCGAGTGGATGCCCTCAAAGCGGTCCCAGTGTTCAGATTTAGAGAAAGCTGTCTCATTATGATACTTCTAACATTCCGCTGAATGACTCCATCGTAAAAGAGTGGTCATGGACATATAACGCACGCGTCAGCTTGCATAGCCCTACTGCTAGGTTTATAAGCTTGAATGTTGCTCCTCCTGAGCATACTCTGATTTTCTGTTTGCTTCAAATTCTCCGCAGATGAAGGGTGGAGAATGGTTACAAACGCGTGCTTCGAGTTTGTTGTAGTCGCGAAACTGAAGTGGGTAGGACAAAGGACGAGTCTGGTTGCGGGCTTTGAAGGAGCAGGTTTGACGAGTCGTCAAAGGGCAGCCGATACGCACTTTATCACTAGCTGCTCCAATCGCTCCAAGAGGGCTGTGATGCTCAACTGAGCACAGAATTGTTATGCCTGTTTGAGGATTTGACTTATCCAGTAGGGAACGAACTACTTGTTGGGGACATGACAGCCGAACTGAGTAAGGATGCCTTCAACCTTCCAATACCCACTGGCTTGAGATTGGAAGGCGACCACTTTTGCAACAATGATAACTTCTCGATGAGGGCTTTTTTAGGGAGTATTGATCAGAGCCGGCAGAGAACGACTCCCTTGTTGTACTTATTTTTGCACCGACTAGATTGTTCTCGACAACAGATCAATGAACAGCGAGTAACGACTATTACAATAAAATCAAGTAGCGCTTCAGGAATGTTGTATCGTCATTAACGTTCAGAAGTAAATAGTATAAAACGCACAGATTAAACATAGCGGGCACTTCTGTTCTACCGCGTTCGTAATGAATGGAGCAGCAGATAAATGAAGTGGCGTTTTTTCGAAAAATCACGTGTCTCAACCAACGAAGAATAAACTTGCTCCCACTTGACTTGCTTTTGGAAAAAAAATTTAAAAAGTGGTAAGGCATTGACGGCCTAAATCTTAAAAGGATCTCATGTTACGACCACCTCATCAAAGTCGTGTATGCTACCATCGCGGTTGTGGGAAGAAGCAACCAAAAAGGGGTGTGGTGCAGTAGGAACGAAATCGTAGCGTCGCGGCGAGAGGGACGCCGTGAGCGAAGGAATATAGCAGAATGCAGCAGAAGGTAAGACATACAGGAACAAAGGAAAAATCAGTAGAATCATGACTAAAATAAGGATCGCATGACAATGGAGCTGTATGAAGAAGGGTAGTGCTGTAATAACGGCGAATGAATGGTCCGCGACAGCCGCGTGCGGCGAATCAGTTACAGAAAATTGTTCCCGTGGCCCGTCTCCCACCAAGTAAGGAGGAGAGTGTTGGAGCCACTTGTTGTGACTCTTGATTGGAAACGAAAGACTAGTTGAGAATTAATGATTTATTCTTGATGTTTGACGTTTGAAAAGTGTTTCTCAAGCTAAGAGCAGTTTGTTTAAAAAATAGCGTAGACAAGGTTTATATTCCAGGAGATTACGTACGGTTCGCCAGATTTCCCAAATTTTAGATGATACAGTAACCCTGAAAAGTGGTCCCTAGCCAAACTGTTACCTAATAACGTTGGAAGCAAAAAGTTTTATATGAAAAGAAATATCAGCTCAGGGGTGCTCTCCTGCTGCGCATGAACCAAAAGCAATAGGAAAGAGCGAAGTGTTCAATAAAGATTAGGTGAGAATGCTTGAAATTTCCGTAGATACTAAGCCTTCGCTCCGTGGTAGATAGCGGAATTTTCTCGCAACTCATCTTGAAGTATCTATGAAGATTTCGCAATGTTCCACCCCATCCCCCATTTCTGAATTCCCGTTATTACTGAGCAACAAAAGTAGTTCTGTTGCCTTTATTCACAATGCTCAAAGGACGTGCTGGGTGGCAAATACAATATGCACTGTAAAGGAACAATGAGATGATCTTCTCCCTCTCCTCAAGACGCTCACCATCCAGAAGTCGGTCTTGGCCTTCGGTTGTAAAACACACTCACGCCCACTTATATTTCATCCGTTGGGCTCCGCACACTAAAGCGTGCTTCACAACAAAGAAAGCTTCTCACAGAGTTATGAATTTTTTGATTTGAATTCTAGGACTATGAGTTCATGTAGAATCACTCTGAGAATGCTGCCCCAATCGCGGATGGATCTCTTTCGTCCGATTTGTTGACCCATTCCTTCCTGCCCTTTTTTCTTGTGCTTCTGGAGCAAAGTCCTCCCCTTTGTGCAGCCCGTTCCGCTGCATGCTCCATCCTCTGTGAGCAGGATCTCTTTGGCTCATATGTGCACTTTTGACCATGCCCTAGCCCCCCCCCCCCCCCTCAACCCTAAAAATAATAAAAATCACCTTGATAAAGGAAGGATCCCGCTCTTTGTTGTATTTCGGATGTGCATTGGAGTTTATGAGTTAAAAGTGAAACCCAATACGGCAAAGAATTATGGCCCGAGCTAGTGAAATGATAAAGCCCTGGGTGTAACAGCGACTAAATTCGGCTTCTATCCATAAATGAGCACCTGGGCTGAGACCAGTTGAAGGATTTAATCGTTTATAAAAACCTATCATTGTTTATTTCCCGTACCGGGCTTGATGCCAAGTAGCTGACCTTGGAGGAATGGAAGGTCTGGTGAGCCTGGGCTGTTTTTGTTCCTCTGGCGGGCCACGAGAAATGGTGCTATGAGGAACCACTCGGTTCAATAGCTAATTAAGAAAATTGTCTCAATCGAGACCACAAACGACGAAGCTTTTCATTCAGGATGAGGAAAAGATAAAGCAAAGGCACTAGGAAAAAGTGAAAGTTTCATCTGGGTAAAAGTGAGCTGGGTATGGTTTACCTATACGATTTACGCAATAGCGAACAGGTTGCAACTGCGATTTACGCAATAGCGAACAGGTTGCAACTGCCCAACTTTCTATCTTACAAGTCTTTGCAAAGAAATGCAGTCAGCACCTGAGCCCATAGACACCTCCATTCTACAGATAATTATGAAACTAAAATTAAACGAACCATGAGATTCCCAATGAACGTCACGATAGCGAACACGGCGCCGAAGACTATGATGGCCACCATGCGTGATTCATCCCCGTAGGGGAAGTCGGATGCGTTAACCGGGAGCGTTTGTGACGTTGCATTGTCTGTCGAGGCAGAGAGTAGCTGAAACTATGAAAAAACTATTGAAGGATAGAGGTTATGTATGCATGAAAATTGTCGAAGGTGAGCATGATCGTTTGGGTGGGCAGTAGGCGACGAATTGGCATCAAGAAAGGTCCCGTTTAGGAAATGTTGAATAAAGCATACTTCGAACTGCGATTCAGCAAAAGTACACGAATGTCAAAGACAAGACCAACCACTCCGTGTTCGAAGTCTCAACTTCGACGGAAAACAAATGATAGAGGGAAGTTTCAATGATTTACTTATGAAAGATGGCCTGAAGCTTGCCCGGCCGCTTTTCATGCTGACAAGGGAAGAAACTCATTTTAACACTTCAGTCCGTGTTCTAAGATGGGACACCAGCCTTCCACTTACTGATGGAGAATTATGCCCGGAGACATCGCTCAATGATTCAATTGACTATGAAATAGGTGATTTTGGAGAGCCCCAGTTGGAGGCTTCGTGGAATTAGTGTCTGTCCTCCGTCAAGCTATTCTGTATATTGAAAATTCATCGCTAGATTCCAGTATGGTGATCAGGCGAACAGAGATTATCCAATCTCTACTTAGAGCTTTTGTTCTGATCACTAATAAGCAGCTTCGTAAAAATTTATCCCTTTTCCACCGTAGCATAGCCGAGATATGAAACGATCTTTCAATCTTCCAACCAAAGGCTACGGTTGGACTCTTTCAGTGTTAGACAACGCATTTGAACTCAAGGCTTCAAATACCGAGGAAAGCGATATTCACTCTCATCTACTCTTCACCGAAATGACTTAGATTCGATTGCTAACAATCCTCCTGTGCACGTATCTCAAGATTCATACTTGGGCCATAGGCTTCTCATAATGCCCTCGATGTTATGATCTTCCCTGGCTGACAGCTTCATTATTTTCTTCGAAGTTCGCTTAGTACTTTACAGTAAAAAGAAAAAGCTCACC